CCTGTCAAGAAATTGTCAGTAGCAGCCCGGGGTCAGGAAGTTGACAGTGTCTCTCTTGCTTACGAATAGTGTGACTATCTATCTCACTCGCACTTCAGAAATCTATTGACGACGCTTGTCTACCTGAATCTGTAGTCTATATAGTATCGGTACACCCGGAGGCGCACTTTTAATTTTGTATTTATTTTGTTTCTTTTTATTGTGTTTGGTATATAAATGTTTTTCTGTTCTAAGATGTATATGGGTACTGTAATGAAATACGAATATAAATAATAAACACATTAGGCAACAAAGAACCTTTCACTACGGCGCTTCATTTTAAAACGCCAAATTCTCTTGCGGGTGTTCGCCACACGCGGCGATCATTGATGTCACGGCGACGCCTTTGTCAAGATACGGCACGACGAGAAAGGCGACGTGACACAAAGGCGAACATTTCTAAGTGAACAAACTATAATTAGTCTTATGCCTGCTCGGTCATTTTAATGCTCGCTCCGTACTAGTTGATTTCGGACAGTGAACTAGTTCGTTCTATTAGCTCTGTTCGGTCATCAGTACTACTAATCAGTTAATCCCCTCAATCCCAATGAAATTCCCATGCAGTCGCATGCGTCCGGCACATCGCGTGCGGTCGCATGCGACCGCACCCTCCCACAGCACTTAAAACAATTAAAACTTATATTTAGAGACTACTTTTCTATTAAGAAGATTGATTTTGACGGAATAGCGCCGTGGTCGAATTTGACCGCTTGGGGACTGAGGAGTTAAAATGTATCTGTATGTATGGAATGGTCAATATCTGCTCGAGTCGTAATGCACACACACACACACACACACACACAATAATATGTATATATATATAACACACACACACACACACACACACACTAAAATATCTCCTGTCACTCATTTTTGTCATATAATATTCCATTTTTACTAAGAATAAAACAACGAAATACTTTTTTCTCAATAAATAGTGCAAACATAAGCATGTGCCAGCAAATTTCTCAGTACAAAATGATGCAATAACATGTCAGGAATGGCGGGGGAGCGAGGGGCAGGGTCCGGCGCTCATCCCGCGCCCTTTACGGTAACAAGTTTGTTGTGTACCGAGGTGATCCTGCCGAATAATGTTCGGCCGAATATTCGGTTCGGTAAAAGTTTTACTGAACTTTCGGCCGAATATTTGTAATCGACCCATCTCTAAACTATATCACAGGATTGTTGTTTACAAAAAATTACCTTTTCAGCGATATCGCAGTAATTGTTCAAAATGTCCATCGATTCTTTCTAACCACAAACTAGCACGTCTTTGTAAATTGTTTGTTGAACTTTCACTAACACTTTGTGCTTCTTATGTGTACGCTAATCGTTTTAGTTAGGCCCGCAAATAAAACAGTTCACAGGTCGGCCGCGATCTATCCACCTATCACTGAATTGGTTGTCCATATATGCGCGCATAGATCGTTCGTAATGAGCTGGATACCCGTCGTTTTGGAAGTACATTACTTGCAGATGGTTTTAAGGAACGTTTTCCAACATTGACGACGGAACGTATCATTTGCAGATACTTTACTCCCGTCAATCTACCTTCAATTTATGGAGTGTAGAAGTAAGGAGTACCAACTCCCATAGTAGAATAGTTAAAAAAGTGGTCATTTGTAAGCAGTAAATAACAGTTCTAAAACTCTCCACAACAGCGCTGGAGTAGCTACAGGGATGAAATGAACTTGCTGCTAAACTGCTCAGTAGCTCTAAAATCTAAAATAATTTTATTAAGTAAATCCTCGAAAAAGTCGTCTATCCCACTAATATTTTTCGGCACGTCCTTTAAAATTTAGCCCGTAGCTATAGTGGCGCCACCCTTATTTAACGGTTTTCTATGGACACTTTTTAATACACAGTCTGTACTCCTTACTTCTACATACTTCAATCCATGGGTATGTTCCGAAATACAACGCAGTGTACTGTCCAATGCAAATGACGTCATCATTTGACACTTTATTGTACTAGCGTGCCGCCGCCATATTGTGTCGGATATCCGGCCATAATAAAACAATTTTTAATTGTGTGTTTGCCAAATGAAGCATAGCAGAATTTGTTTCTATTTATTTAAATACAAAAAATTATATAATAATTGATGGTATATCCATTAAGAGGATATAATGATTTTTGGACACAAAATGACAAAATAATCGCCAACACTTTTCCAAATGGCGCAAAAGTATGACGTCATATACTGTCCAATGTTTTGGAACGAATCACCAGTATAGCGTCGATTCATGACGTCATTTGCATTGGACAGTACACTGCGTTGTATTTCGGAACATACCCCATATTGGACCATTGATGTGGTCGTTAATGGTTGCCGCCCGAATGTTAACACTAAAACGAACTTGATGAGCGTGTTCTTTGATATTGTGTGGGTTTTGAAAACTCCGTAGGTTTGCGAAAGGGCAATGACCTTTGTCCGTATCTTTTCGCAAACGTACGGCGCAGTGCGTGCGGCGAGTGCGTTACAAATTCATTGTTTCATTGCCGCTCGTAAAGTACGGTGCGTATAATTTGAATGTTGAGAGTTTTTAATTTATTTATTTAGTTCAATTTATTGTTTATATTTTTTTATTATTGAAGGTTTACTTTCAAGTAGTAGTATTTATTGATAAATTAATTTCAGAGAAAAAAGTAAAATACCAGTGCCATAGGCTTCAATTCCGTTCATCTGTTACACCCTATTTTTTTCAATACAGAACAAAAAGTCATCCGGTAGAGTGATTTTAAGAAATAGTAGTTTTGGTGATTCCGGTAAATCTGCTCCTGTTTTATCATATAAATAATGGTCTTATGTCAATTTCGATTCGTAAAATTGGTGCGATTTTGCGCATTAGTATTCATATAAGAAATGTCATTGCATATGAATCATTCGTGGAAACGATGTAATGTCGAATCTCCCAATAACTTCGCAATGTATCGCATTGGTATATGGAGAAGAGTTTTGTAAATAAAGACAAATTAGACTAGGCTGTAAGACCTTTATAACATACAGCCAAGTCTCTTCAGCGTCTTTTTAAACAACAGCAGTTAGTCAAGTTATTTTTAAATTATGTAAATGATACTTTTCTAGACTTCGATTAGCCACAAGCTTGGTTTGATAAAACAAAGTAAATTATTTTATTGATATCTACAATAGTGAAATAAATAGACGCTTAATAATACCATCAACATTTTTTTCGCCATTATCCTTTGTAGTCGTAGTACCTAATATATATATATATATATATCTATATATATATATATATATATATATATAAACACTCACGCCTGTCACCCAGAGGGGTAGGCAGAGACTACAGACTTCCATTTGGCACGATCCTGACACACCTCTCTCGCCTCCTTCACATCCATACACCTACGCATGCATGCTCGTCGGTTAATGGTACTCCTAATTTGGCCCGTTTTCAATAAATCGCCAATTTGGTCGATAAATTTTCGCCTAGGACGTCCCTTTCCGACTCTGCCATTCACTTCTGCAACATAAATTTTCTTTGTCACTCTTTCCTCATCCATTCTTTCCACATGACCAAACCACCGAAGCATTCCTTTCTTAATCCTGGTCACAACATCATCTTGCAAACCACACTCTTCTCTTATCACACAATTTTTCACCCTGTCATTCAGATTCAGCCCTAACATACTCCTTAACGACCGCATTTCTACTGCATTTATTCTACTCTCGTGCTTCTTCTGCCATACCCAACTTTCACTACCATACGTTAAAGTAGGGACCAACACAGCATTGTGAATTGCCATACGTGCCTTTTTCGACACATTTTGACTCTTCACAATAGAGTGCAGGGCTCCATTTACTCTGTTTCCTGCGTTCACTCGTCGTTCTATATCCTTATCATATCTCCCATCCCTGCTAAATACGCAACCCAAATATACAAACTCATCTACTTGCTCGATCAACTCCCCTTCTATTCTTATTTCACATATCGTTTTACTTTCATCTCTTTCAAAAACCATAATTTTTGTCTTACTTGCGTTCACTTTCATACCCCTTTCTTTTAATGATCTGTTCATTAATGTAACCATCATTTGCAGCTCGGCCGCCGACGACGCAAGAATAACTTGATCATCGGCGTACAAAAGGCATTTGATGGTTAACTCACCCATTCTTAATCCGCATTCTTCAACTTTCAAATTTTGCAAACAACTGTCCATAAATAGGTTGAACAACCACGGGGGAAGCCACACAGCCCTGTCTGACACCTTTATGGATGCCAAACCAGTCGGAGTAGACCCCGTTGATCCTAACACAAGCACTAGAGTCCCTATAAAGAGATTCCAATGCCTGTATCAAGCCAGCGCTCAACCCAAATGAGTTCAGTGTTTGCCATAGCACATTCCTATCCACTCTGTCATAGGCCTTCTCCAAGTCCATGAACGCACAAAAAACCTTTTGGTTTTTGGCCAAAAAAACTTCTCCGCGATCATGCGCATAGAGAAGACTTGATCTGTACATCCCATTCCCTTTCTAAATCCCGCTTGCACATCCCAAATTTTTCCATCGGTTTCTTTCATGACCCTTTCAATTAGTACCTTGGAATACCTAAAATATTGTATAGTATATCAAATATTAAAATATTTAGAAAAAGTTATTATAATAAAAAAAAGAATCATATTTTTTCCTCTTGTATAATCATCAATTTGTCCACTCCCAGGTACCCGCTTATCGCCGAATTTCGGCTCACCCGATATATCCAGCTTAGTTTCTGGCCCACTTTCATGAATGCTATTATTGAAAGTGAGTTAGAAAGTAGAAACAGAATTAAAGCTAGAAATGGGGTTTAGCGAGATAGGTGTGTATGTATTGATGGGGTGGTGATTTGATTGCAGACGGTGGAGACGGTGCGGAGGGTGGTGTGTGCGGGGCGCGGTGTGCGTGGTGGCGGGCGCGCTGCCGTCGCCTACAGGCTGACTGCCGCCTGCTCGACTGTGCGCTCGCGCGCGCCCTGCATACCGCGCACAGGTACAACACCACACTATACACACCACACTATACAGACCACACCATACTACACACCACACACCACGCCTCACACACCACACGCATCACCTCACGCTACACTACACAAACCACACCATACACTACACCATAGCATACTATAATACACAATAGAATGGCTGTCAACCTTATTTTGTACGAGGATCGGCGTCATTGGGAGCACACATACAAGCAATTACGTCGTATTATCACTATTACAAACCGGATTCGCTATGTTGACAGATAGCGAATTTACACATTTTAAACTTTTGATTAATGTTCAAGATCATCATTAAAAAAATAAATAGTTTAAATTTTAATACATATCTATTTGTAAACAGTGTGCAAACTAATCGAAAATTGGAAACGATTGTAACGTCAAAAGAGATGTGTTGACATTTATACGTGTGAATTGACATGTTAGTGACATTTTAGTGGCTACACGGGTTCCGCCCACTCCTCCGTTCTATTATGTATGTATTATAGTATTCTATGCACTACACTACACATATCAAACCACACCACATCAACACACCACATCAACACACCACACCACACACACCACACCACATCAACACACCACACCACACACACCACACCACACCACACAGACCACACCACATCAACACACCACACCACACACGCCACACCAAATCAACACACCACACCACACACACAATACCACATCAACACACCACACCACACACACACCACACCACATCAACACACCACACCATACACACACCACACCACATCAATACACCACACCACATCAACACACCACACCACACACACCACACCACATCAACACACCACACCACACACACCACACCACATCAACACACCACACCACACCACATCAACACACCACACCACATCAACACACCACACCACATCAACACACCACACCACATCAACACACTACACCACACACACCACACCACATCAACACACCACACCACACACACCACACCACATCAACACACCACACCACACACACCACACCACATCAACACACCACACCACACACACCACACCACACCACATCAACACACCACACCACACTACATCAACACACCACACCACACCACATCAACACACCACACCACACCACATCAACACACCACACCACACACACCACACCACATCAACACACCACACACACCACACCACATCAACACACCACACACACCACACCACATCAACACACCACACCACACACACCACACCACACCACACACACCACACCACATCAACACACCACACCACACCACATCAACATACCACACCACACACACCACACCCGCACCATACTACATCACACCATACCACACACCATGCCACACATATTACACCACAAAATAAAGTGGATCCTGGGGCCCGTAGAAATTTACATCTATCTTCAATTAAGAATTAAAATGCAGATGCAGTGTCACGCCTGACAACAAACACAATAATGTTAAGCTGCTGTTTTACGCTGGTATTCGGTGAGACTGTAGTCACTCCACGTTCGATCCCACTCTTTCGTGCTACAATTATAATGTAGCTGCAGCATGACTACCACGTGATGGATGTTAGTGAACCACTTTTAACAGTTTGTTAAAGCAATTGAACAATACAAATATCCACCGCAGAAACATCGTAGTTATTCGTAACATTGTCCGCAGGTTAACGTGCGCGTGCGCAAAACAAGAGTCTTCGTGCGTGGCGCTGTGCAGTGCTCTGCGGGCAGCCGACCGCGCGCTTGAGACGTACGATGTGCTGCTCGCGCTCGCCGAGACGCAACACTGCCAGGGCTCACCCGAGGTGCGCACGCATATACGTACACGCACACACCTACACGTACACACCCACACCTATTTGCACTCATGCAGACGCGCACGCACTCACGCAAACATGTACACGCATACACGTACACGTACTCACGCACACGTACGTTCACAAGCATATACGTACATGCACCCACGCCAACACAAGCACTATCGCACGCAAGCGCACGAATGAATTGAATATACATAATAAAAACATGATTAGCTTTGATAAGAATATACATGTTTATACGTCAAACCCTACACTCAGAATTAGTAATTCATGTGTGGGGAAATGTATATGTTTTTACCACAAAATTAGAAAATGATCAAAAATGCATAAACATGCAATAAACAAGTTTTAAGTTTTGTTTAAGGAAAATTGCACAAAACGGTTGTTGTAATATCAAGAACATATTTTACGAATATGAAGTGATCGCTGCCATGCTGGTTCTTTAATTGATTTAAAATATTTTATAAAATTGCATTGTAGTCACGTTGTATTTTGCTGATTCTTCCTCGGACAGAGGTATCTTCCGAATAAGTGGTAAATAAAAAAATTCTTTCAATAAATATTATCTAATAATCTTTTAAGTAAAAATTTCTCTATTCTATACTATGCTGCACTCACGACGTGCCCAATCGCAGTAGAGTTCCGATGTCATTGTTGGAGTGGTAAAGTCACCGGCGTTGTACAATGATGGATCAATCAGAGTTCCTAATCTTGCACTCACTAGATGTCGCCAGTTGGGCCTGAGGTGGACCTATTTGTTACGTAGCTGGTCATACAGTGTCAATTATAAAAATCAAAATTGAAAAGTTGCATTTTAAATGAAAAGTTCTAGGATTCTAGTGTATTTAAATTGTATACAAACAAAATAATGTGTCAGTTGTGTTTTCTTTAGTTTTCAATCGATCTCAAAAAAGGAGGAGGTTCTCAATTCGACTGTATTTTTTAATGTGTGTTACGTCAGATTTTTTTCGAGATGAACCGATTTTGGTGATTGGGTTTTATTTGAAAGTTGATGCTTCTCATGTGGTTCCATATAAATTTTATCGAGATCTGACCAGTAGATTTTGATATAATAATTTCTTATATTTACGCGAACACTACTCAAACGCGATAAAATCCGTAAAAGTAGTTTGAATCAGTAGATTTTGAATTATCCTTAATAATGCGTATTTAATTGACTTCGAATACGTTGATGATGTTGTCATTTTATTTATATTGAATTCGGTTTTATAACATTTTTGATTTTACCACTTGTTTAATGCTACTACTTTCAGGGATATCCGTAGTTTAGTTATCCATTTATATAAAGAAAGGAATATTATAATAAGAAACATTAATTTTAAGTATATGAACACTTGTTATAATTGAACTTTCTCGATATAATATGTGAAACATTGCATTTGTTTCGTGGTGTCGCCATTGTGACAAATACACAAAATTTTGATGTGGTAGGGCCATGCTTGAGCTATATTAGAAGTATAGTTGTAGCATGAATGGGTCGGTTCGACCGGGGAAGGATCAACGCTGCTATGTTTCGTATATGGTGAGTGTAGAGAGCCGGAGACCCATTTTACTGGAAACGAGGCATTTCATTTTTATCCTCAGGGGTGACAACGCATCTGTGTTTTGATTAGGCTCAAAATGGCCAGAACCCACAGAGTCGTAAAGCCAGTTAATAAAAAAAAATGTGTTTTGATTACGTAATCGATGATAAATGTAGGTTTCTATGAGCCGCAGCAACCACTTACCATCAGGTGGACTGTGTGCTCGTTTGTCACAAAAAATAAAAAATAAAACATTGCGGCAAGCGCAATTAATGAGGTGCACGTTGTGGGCGGCAGCGGGGGGCGGCCGAGCTGGTGGCGCGACGGCTGCTGGCGCGGCTGGAGGCGCGCGCGCTGCCCGAGCCGCTGCTGTCTCCCGGGCCCTGGCTGCCGCACCACCACCACCAGGACCCCACAGAGTAACCGCACCGCCATAGCTTGCAATCACACACTCATAAACATACATCTAGTCATACATCACACTCTAAAAACTTGTTGCTGACTACTGTCCACCACCACCACTCTGACCACCACGACACAGTTGACTAACTTCACCTTTATAGTATTAAGGGCCGATCATTATAATGCCGTCCACAGTTCGTTCTCGATCCGATCTCGGTGTGATAAAATATTTTCGAGTAAAAAATATGTGTATGCATACATACTATCCGATAACAGTCAAGTTTCGGTCAAATCCCATTTCATTATAATAAATCAGACCGAGATCGGGCCGAGAACGAACTGTGGATCGGCCCTAAACGAGATACATACAGTCGTCAATCTAGCCATACATTACAGCCTGTAGTCTAATACTAACTACTGTCCACGAACACACGACAAAGTAACTTCACTTTTGTAACATTTAATGAGACATCATCATCATCATTCCATCCATCACCATCAGTCTATAACTGCTGAATGAATCTTTTCGACAGAAGAATTTGAAATTGCAATATCATTATTTTGAGCTATTATTAACAAAATACTGCTATGCGTCGTCCTATTTTATACTGTCTCACTTTTTACGTCACTCACGGCTATATAATGTAGAGTAGAATAAAGTCCATATAATGATTTACAAATAATTTACTATATCTAGATTCTGCATGTTGGAGTATGATATTTTTTTTTATTAAATAAGGGTACATATCAAATGTGCTGTGGATTCCATAGGCACTAATATTATTTTATTTAAAAATAAAGAAATAATTTGTTTACGTTCTAAGGTATCTACTTTTTGATTTCTAATCCAAAATAGACGTAAAATTGATTGTACATATGAAAAAGAAACAAAATTATTTTTTTTAGAATATTGACAATAGTAATAGACCACACTGATGTCCAACCCCAAGCAAATGTCCAGCCATCCAAGAACCACAACTCAAAAGTTCCTTCTCCAACAAATAAAATAGAAATTTGCGAGATAAATTTGCATACTACTCAAAAATTTACCGCAGGTCCTGTTAGATTCATCCGGCGCGGATATTCCACTGCCATTCCTTTTTGATGCAGGATCTGCCACATGTTTACTTGAACAGTCCCGCATGCCGAAAAATCTCAAGCTCATATCAAACTCAAAGGCAACCCGGCTGATGAACCGACAACTACCGAGGGCCATTTTCCATAGAAATTAAAATTTAAATTCGTTTAGCTTCATGTTAAGGGGAAATATTAAAAATACTACCTCAAATGGCTTAGCAAGATCCTCCGTTATGCCGAAAATATTGCAGCATTAATTTTGAAATAAATATATGGTAAAGTTGAGGATTAATGTTAAGTACAGTGTTAGACGAAAACACGATTCCGTAAAATTTTCTCGATAGAAAAAAATCCAAAGTTACCTCCGAACTGAACTATAAACCGCTGGTTATTCATAAAATACTTTAAATAAGATCATGAAACTTTGCATACTAACTGAACTAACTATTAAGCAGGGCTTATGTTTTTTATTTAATTTTTTTAAATTACCATTATTTTCACTGTAAAAGGAATTTACCTAAACTTTGAACTAAACGAAGTTGTGTCGCTTATGATCAGAATACACGTTACGCAACAGGGCGACGTAAAATTAAAATGGGAAATAACCGTAATAAAAATAAGAAGCGACTGGGTTGGCGTTAAGAAACAGGCATAAATATGATAAACCTATTGAAATAAGTATCAACGACCCATCTACTTACAGTATTAGTGATTATAAACTGTCGGTATAGCGTACGAGGGGGGAAGTGTGGGCGAAATTAGAATTTGAGCTGAGTTACTATAGTCCAAATTATGCCGTGTAGTGGCGGTTAAGAATATCCACTACCCCATATCTTCCCGTGGGTGTCGTAAGAGGCGACAGAGGGAGACAGGCAGGAGATGGGCAGCAGCGTCTTCCTGATGACAACTGTGACGTAATAAAAAACTGCGGTTGCCAACCCGCTCGCCAAGCGTGGCAACTATGGCAAATACCCCCCAATGAATAAATACACAAACAGACGGCCCCCAGTCCCCGGCGGCCCCGCTATTCCTGGCTACGGTGGCGACCATGGTAACGGCGGGGCAGGGGGTGCTAAGAATCTCCAAGGTGGAGGTTCGGTTGCCACCTACGACGACTCGACCTGGCAACTGGCAACTTATAACGCACGCACCCTGAGGACTGACGAGAAGATACTGGAGCTGGAAGAAGAGGTAGACAAGTTGCGCTGGCATATTATTGGATTATCCGAGGTCCGAAGAGAGGGGGAGGACACGGCAATCCTCGAGTCCGGCAACTTGTTCTATCACCGGGAGGGCGACCATCTGTCCCAAGGAGGTGTCGGATTTATCGTCCACAAATCTCTCGTCAACAACGTTGTAAAGATTGGGAGTGTGTCGACGAGGGTCGCGTACCTGATACTCAGAATCACCAAACGGTATTCGCTGAAGGTCATTCAGGTTTACGCACCAACCTCGGCACATCCCGATGAGGAGGTGGAGGAAATGTATGAGGATATTTCCAGAGCCATACATTCCTCCAAAACCTACTACACGGTGTTGATGGGAGACTTCAACGCAAAACTGGGCACAAGAGAAAGCGGTGAGCTGAAGGTAGGGAAATTTGGAGTAGGGCAACGGAACCGAAGGGGCCAGCAGCTGGCCGACTTTATGGAGAAAGAGGGACTCTTTATGATGAACTCTTTCTTCCAGAAGCGGCCCCACAGGAAGTGGACCTGGTCGAGCCCCGACGGTTCGACAAAAAATGAGATTGACTTCATTATGACGACCAGACGCCAACTGTTCAGTGATGTCTCAGTGATCGCAAGGGTGAAAACTGGCAGCGATCACCGAATGGTTAGAGGCACACTGAACCTAAACGTTAAGTTGGAGAGGTCTCGTCTAATGAAGTCAACGCTCCGTCCCCCTCGTGCTCTAATCTAGAATCCCGAAACCTTTCAGCTCGAGTTACGTAACCGCTTCCAGTGCCTAGAAGATTGCAATGCAGTGGACGATATGAACGACAAGCTCGTGGAAACTGTCCATGCGGTCGGAGCTAAGTTCTGCAAGACCCGCCGCAGAAGAACACAAAAACTCTCCGATCACACTCTTAATCTCATGGCTGTTAGACGGGAGATGAGGCTGCAATCGTCAACAGATTTGACAGCATACAGGCAACTGAACAGACAGATCTCCAAATGCATACGGCGAGACTTACGCTACTTTAATACTTCTCGTATTAAAGAAGCGATCGAGCGGAACCAGGGCTCCAAAGTCTTTGCCAGAGATCTGTCTGCCAGAAAGAGCCAACTGTCAAGGCTGAAGACTGAGTGTGGCAACATCGTTTCCGGGACACCTGAGATTTTGAGTGAGATTGAGAGGTTCTATGGGCAGCTGTACACATCATCGTTGGAGCCACACGCAAGTGTGAGTAACGATCCAAGAGCAAGTCTTATCCGACACTATTCCGATGATATCCCGGACGTCAGTCTAAGCGAGATTAGAATGGCTCTCCAGCACCTTAAAAACGGCAGGGCCCCAGGCGAGGATGGAATTACAGCGGAGCTTCTGAAAGCGGGTGGAACACCGGTACTTGAAGTCCTTCAGAAGCTCTTCAATTCCGTCCTCCATGGTGGCACTACTCCAGAGGCGTGGAGCAGAAGTGCGGTGGTCTTGTTCTTTAAGAAAGGCGACAACGCTCTCTTAAAGAACTACAGACCGATTTCCCTTCTGAGCCGCGTCTACGTGCTGTTTTCGAGAGTCATTACGAATCGTCTCGCACGCAGACTTGACGACTTCCAGCCTCCCGAACAAGCCGGTTTCCGAAAAGGCTTCAGTACCATAGACCACATACATACCCTGCGGCAGATTGTACAGAAGACTGAAGAGTACAATCTGCCACTTTGCCTGGCGTATGTGGACTATGAGAAAGCCTTTGATTCCGTCGAAATTTGGGCGGTGCTACAGTCCCTTCAGCGGTGCCAAGTTGACTGTCGGTATATCGAAGTGCTGAAGTGTTTGTACAGTAGGGCTACGATGGCTATCCGAGTACAGAACCAGAGCTCGAAACCTATCCAACTGCAGAGAGGTGTAAGACAGGGTGACGTTATATCCCCGAAACTCTTCACCGCTGCATTGGAACACGTTTTCAAGCTACTGGACTGGAAAGGATATGGTATTGACATCAATGGCGAGTACATCACTCACCTTCGATTTGCCGACGATATAGTCCTTATGGCAGAATCGCTGGAGGACTTAAGCACTATGCTCAATGACCTCAATAGTGCCTCCCAACGGATAGGTCTTAAGATGAACATGGACAAAACAAAGATCATGTTCAATGTCCATGTCACACCTATGCCGGTAGTTGTTGGGAGCACTATGCTCGAAGTTGTTGACGAATACGTTTACCTGGGACAAATAGTCCGACTAGGTAAGTCCAACTTCGACCGAGAGGTCAATCGACGGATTCAACTCGGCTGGGCAGCGTTCGGGAAATTACGGCATATCTTTTCGTCAGGTATACCTCAATCTCTAAAAACTAGATTGTACAACCAGTGCGTGTTGCCAGTGATGACTTACGGATCTGAGACGTGGTCCTTCACTGCTGGCCGTATGAGGACGCTTAAGGTCGCTCAGCGAGCTATGGAGAGGGCTATGCTCGGAGTTTCTCTGCGTGATAGACTCAGAAATGAGGATATCCGCAGTAAAACCAGAGTGACCGACATAGCCCAACGGATTAGTAAGCTGAAGTGGCAATGGGCCGGCCATATAGCTCGAAGAACCGATAACCGATGGGGAAGAAAGGTTCTCGAGTGGCAGCCTCGTACCGGTAGGCGTAGTGTAGGGCGACCCCCCACTAGATGGAGTGACGACCTGGTAAGACATGCAGGAAGTCGATGGATGCAGGTGGCTCAGGACCGTGCTTTGTGGCATTACTTGGGGGAGGCCTATGTTCAGCAGTGGACTTGTGAAGGGCTGTAATGATGATGATGATGATACTATAGTCCCTTAAACTAAAATCTTAAAGTTACGGCCTTGAAGAAATCCTTGGTAACATTAGAATCGTTCTAAGAAAAAAGTGTTCAAAACTGGGAGTTTTTACAAAATAAAAATTATAATACAAAATATAATTTTGCAAATGCAATACTATTTTGGAATTTTTGTCAAATGCGTCAACTTTAATAGTTACTTGGCAAACTAGCGTAGTGCATTTTTTCAGTATAGCTAATTAAAATTGGGCGAAGTATTAACATTGAATACTCAGGCTAAAAGTGACATTTTCTACCGTGCTAGAGCAGTTGGTTTTAAAATTTTAGCGAAAAACTTACAGAAGGATTATTTAGGATCACTTATTAAATATACAATTAAAAAAATTAAGATTTGTTGTAACGGGAGCTAAATGACTGTGACAGGGTAGGTTTTCTCGATTTATTTAAAATGTTTATTATTTTTGATTATTTACATTTTTTATTTTATTTTTTTGATAACTGTCTTGACTTGACCCGTATCATCTGGCATGACGTCGATTTTTGGGACATCCAGTCCGTTATTATACAAAAAATGATGTGTTTTGTTGTATAATAACGAGAATAATTACGTTTCCGAACAATATTTTAATATTCATTATGCGACTACTCTGTTTAAGAGTTGTTTACTAACTACATTTTTTTTGCAAATGTGTTTGCACTCACTACTAATTCTACTTTAATTGGTCTAGTGTGCGCACTAGCAACCCATTTCGACAAAATTTTTGCTTGATAGAAAGTTTTGTGAGCGGTTAAAATAACTTAAACGTATAAAAAGTGGCGTCTATAGCACGTTCGTTCAGGCTGCAGAGTGTGCTGCTGGCGCGGTGCGTTCAGCAGCGCAGTCCGCAGCTAACGGGCGCTGTGCTCGTGTGCCGCAGCGGCTGCAGCGCTGCGGGCGGCTGGAGCGCGGCGCTGGAGGCGCGGCTGCGGCGCCACGCGGCGCGCCTCAAGGCCGACACCGTCGCGCTGCGCCCGCAGCCCAGGCTCTTCTCCCGCCACGGTCAGTACACACGTTTATTTTTCAAACACTGGCCAAATATTAAACTTAAGTTCAAATACACAAATAACGATAAACCGTTACTGCAGTTTTTGAAAACACGATATACTTTTATTGAAATCATCCCAAATTGAATGTGATTTATAGGCAACAACGTTAGCCTATCGATCGACCCTTACGAATATGTGCGTGCGCAGTAAAATCTGTTAAAATATTGCTTTACCACGCATTGTGAATTTAAAAGATAAAATGAAATCTTAAAAATTCTGTATCTTCAAGATTTGTTTTAATTAATTTTTCTTCACCATTTGCTTATATTACTTATTTTGCATTAGCCGATATATTTTGCAAGAGCCGTGGTAGCTCAGATGGTTAACGCTCGCTGTAAATATAACAGAACGCGAGTAACCCAGGTTCGAGGCCCGCCGGCACCAATGAAATTGTTAATTGCAATTTTAAGTGCTGATTTACCACGTGCTCGGCGGTAAAGGAAAACATCGTGAGGAAACCTGCATGTCTGAGAAATAAGAAAAAAAATATTTCGAAGACACGTGAAGTTCGCCAACATGCACTGGGGCAGCGCGGCGGACACTTCCTTGCCCTAAAACCCCCTCAGAAATGAGGGGAGGCCTGTGCCCAGCAGTGGGACGTATATAGGCTGTAACTTTACTTTTTTTTACTTATTTTGAATCTACTCTGTAAATTTGACCGGTTTTTGCAAAATAAACCTGTAATAAGTGCAATAGTTCTAGTGTGTTTCTTACTTTCTACAGCACGAACTGTTGAATAGAAATGTTATTTGATTTAATCAATTGACATAAACAGTGTTATATTTAATGTAAATTCAACTTGGTTATTAATGTTACTTGTGAAAATTATTAAATTAAAAGTACATTAGAGACTAAATAATCTACACTCATCAAATTTCTTTCATTTAAATTTTGAACGCACTTGATTGTATTGTACGAAGAATGGTAGCAGTATATCGGCAAAAAATTATTAAGATCTGTAAAGATCAAGCAGCGATCCGTGTACCCACAAAGTATTTTCTTTGCAGTCAAGACAACAAAAGGTAAGAGTATGGGATCCAAGAAAATGCTATGTAAAACATAATTATATTACATTTTTAACTTATAACAATTTTGAAGGTGAAGACCAGGCCTTATTTTTGATAATCATTGCGAAAAAATGTTAAAAATTGCTATGTATGTTAACATCCTCATCAGAGGTCTATCGGTTCAAGTTACAAAACATTTTTAAGTTCCCATGCAAGTAGATACTGTATATTTATTGTGTTCATTTTATTTCGTTCAAACAGGATAAGATATAATTACATCTTTAGAGTTCTATGTAAATCGGATGCTCTATCTGAAGGTAGAGAACTAGCGCTATTAAATATCGAATATCAAGTTCATTATCAAAGTAATCAATAAAAACATTATGAGTAGATTTTTAGAAATTAATGAGATATTGTTTGTGTGTATGTATCTCGTTGACAAATCATGGAATTGATCGCTTCATGATGTGTGTTTCGTGCTCCCGAGGGAGAATATATGTATTATAAATGGCTCATGAACTATTAAGACCACACGGCGAAGTTCGGCCTCTAAAAACTTAAACCTAACCAAAATTTTTTTTTTTCGATGGAAAACCCTCATGGATACACTTGGCTGCAGGGGCATCCAAAAGAATATGTCGGACTCCTACCGGCTAAGACCCCACGGTGGTCTCCATTAGCGTGTAAGAGGGGTTCCGGGATATCCGTTCGGAACGAACCCCAGTCTCGTTTTGCTTTATTGGAAGCACGTCCCGGGGGCAGTACTTACTGACCCCAGCACCTTCGCAGTGCTATCGCGGTGTTTCGGGACTGCTGCCGAGTCATCGTCCTTTCCAGAGGTACGGCCGAGTTCCGGCTCACCAGGATTATCCGTTCTCTGTCCCTACGCTGGGCAAACCGCAAGCGTATGGGACGCGGAATCCCACAGTCCATCGCAGTAGGAGCAGTTCTCAGTTCAGATCTTGCATAGATAACTGAAGCACCCGCGCACGGTAATTATCTGTGTAAGTCTGTAGATGAGTCTTCTTGTTGGTCACTGCATGCTGCAGGCGTCGACATTTAACATTTAACGTGCAGTCGCTGGCACTGGCATGTGTGCACCTTTAATTAAATACACACTTTAATATTACTATAATAACGTTATCCGTAGGTAAAGTAAAAGTAAAGTTACAGCCTATATACGTCCCACTGTTGGGCACAGGCCTCCCCCTTATTTCTGAGAAGGTTTTAGGGCAAGGAAGTGACCGCCGCGCTGCCCCAATGCGTGTTGTCGAACTTCACATGTCTTCGAAATATTTTTTTCTTATTCCTCAGACATGCAGGTTTCCTCACGACATTTTCCTTCACCACCGAGCACGTAGCACATTAAACGTTGGTGTTTGCATCTTATTGCTGGTGACTGTACTTAACTACTTACTCAAGATCAGCTCTTGTTGCATAGCATCTAATCGCGTCCGATAATACATGTTTATGTTCACATTTGTTAATATATGGATAGTGTATTTGACTACATATTTATTTTTATATTTAGCTAATAATATATTGTGTAATATTAAACTATGTAGTTGTTTGCTATTCCTAATAAAGAGAAAATAAAAGAAGACCGGCAGGATTGCGCCAATAACGCGTTTGCGTGCATAAAGCTCCGCGTTGAGTCGAGTGCGCCATGTCGCCAAAGCGTTCTGTCGCTCCTACCGTTTTATGGACTCGAGCACCTCGCATCTATATCCGCCAGTATATCTAGGGGTGGAAAGGGAGCCAGGACTGTTGCGGTGTGGTATCGTCGCACGATGCATATAGCCATCCTCAGCTGGACACTGTAGATTTTAGTTTTACTGCGTCGGACGGCTAGCCTTTTTTGCCCATGCAGCCACCCCATGTAAGGCTGCGGAGCGCACTATCCCAGCACGGAGGCGGCGTACCTCCCTCGGCCCCCCCTAGATTGGGCAGCGGTCTGTGCATAGCACCCGCCACCCTTTCAATCCAAGCACTAGGCGCTCAAAATGACTGTCTGGGTGGAGCCCTAGGTACTTCATGTACAGACCCAGTTTGATTTCAGACCCACCCACGTAGACGCAGGAGTCTTGCACCGAAGTAATTTGTGAAACGATGAGGCCTCGGTCTTATGAGGTGCTATTTCTAGATCCAACTTGTGGATTTTCACGACAACGACTTCCTTCCCAAGCTCGGTGATCTCGAGAGCTCCCCTCGCTAACGCCCGCTAGCGACCACCAGTGTTTGGTCGGCATAGCACACGATATTTGCGCCAGCAGGAAGGTAGACATGAAGAACCGTATCGCACGCGAGGTTCCACAATTGTGGGTGCAGCACCGAGCCATGCAGAACCCCACGTTTGATCTTCCTACCATCTTACCCCATGTACAGAATGTACCTGTCGCGCAATTAATCCCCGATTAAGCCTTGATTAAGCGACTTTTTCTTCATTACTCTTCGTTTTTTATTCTTTCGCAGTTGTGGTGGTGATGGTAGTGGCTGCGACCGCGGACATCTTGCTTCCAATAGCGGTGGCAACTGTTCCCGGATTGTCAGTTTGGTTTGCTGGGCCCTTTCAAAAATCTATTTGGCCCGGAAGACAGCCAGTTTCCTGTCAACGAGAGCCTCTGTCTGATGTTAAGGTGGCTACCTGGGTAGTAATAGACCGCTCCTCATCTGTTGTGGAGGAGATTAATTTCTTCCGTAAGATTTTCCGCCTGAGCCGAAAGACTGACAAGTTGGGAACAACTCTGCATTCTCTCTCTCTAGTCAGTGTACTAAGTATAATTTTTAAACGTTTCGGATGAATACTCTGTTGGTTTTTAAGTTGATTACTCGTACAAATAGTTTTTCAATTATGAAACTCATGCATACCAATATCAATTGCAGAGTAAATATCTCGATGACTGTGAAAGCTATAATGATTTCTCTTGAATGATTAACAATAATGCCATCTAGCGAAAATTTTCAAAAATACACAAAAAGTATATAAAGTTGTTTAAGTGTAGAAAAAGTCGTGAGCACAGTGACGTATTTGCATGATATTTACCATTGTTAGCGTAACATGATTGCACTAGATAAATTGTAAGATCTTTTTATACCGTGATTCTTGCAAATAAAAATTTATGATTTATGACTACTAGGTACTTCAAAATAAGAACTAATAACTTGAGAGAACGTTCTTCATGAGAATTTGAATGACAGGGTGAGAAATTGTGTGATAAGGGAAAAGTGTAGTTTGTAAGGTGATTTTGTGACCAGGATTAAGAAAGGAATGCTTTGGTGGTTTTGTCATGTAGAAAGAGTGAACGAGGAGGTGACAATGCAAATTTATGTTGCACATGTGAATAGTACAGTCGAGAAAGGTCGCTCTAGACGAAGGTTTATCGACCAAATTGGCGATATATTGAAAATGGGCCAGATTAGGAGTATCCTTAACCGACAAGCGTGTATGTGTAGATATATGATGTAAAGGAGGCGAGAGAGGTGAGGATCGTGCCAAATGAAAGTCCGTAGTGTCTGCCTACCCCTCTGGGTGACAGATGTGAGTGTATATGGATTACGCAACGTTCCTAACCAGAGAGACGTACAAACCGAGTAATGCGCAAGTGAAGGTTGTCCACACGAGTCTCTGGTGGGTCTGTACAAAAACGAGTGAGACACGGAGTGAGCCACGGCTGTTGTTGCAGACGCGGAGGAGGAGGACGAGGCGGGGGCGGGGGGCGCGCTCGCAGACGTCGGCGCGCCGGAGATGGAGGCCGCCGTCGCCGCGCAGGTGGGTTGCTAGGCCACACGCACACTGTAGCTCGCTGTGCCAGTGGACTTGTCAGCTGACCCAGTGATAACGATCATGATGATGTGCGTGCGTATACCTATGTATGCAAATTAATGTTTTTTTAGTCAGAGGTTTCAGGAAAAACAGAATATTCTCGTATGGACTGTATATTTTCTATGTAACATAATATTCCAAAAAATGTTTGATCAATTTTGTTGTTTTTTTTTTAATATGGCTTTGCGTATAAAAAAATCAATAAAATTGATGTACACTTGAATCAATGTACACGTTCACGGTGGTCCGTTATAAATTTGAACTTGACTTCCCTAGCGCGGTACTTTGCGTTGAATTGCGGCTGTGAGGGCCGCGACTTGAATCCTACGCGTTACTAGTTTTTATGTGACTTAAAAATATTGCCTTCACGATACAGTAGAAATTTCTAATGTGGAAGAATCGACTTTTCAAAGATAAATACTTAATCGTATGATAACTAATCTCTCTTATATTTTCCCCCAACAAACTAGTCTTTCTATTATGTTTCCAACATGTCAATATTATTTCGCCTTTGATCGGTTTTATTCTCGTATAAAATGCGATCGACTGATCCTGACACTCCTGTCGACTCTCACTTCTAGCCACCCGCCAAAAGAACTTAATAGTAAAGTAAACGTTCCATGATTGACAAAATAAACTACATTTGTGGTTTTTTTTCCGCAATGTAAAATTTTATGTGTCAACGACGGTTTTATCCAAAAGTGCCTGACAAAAAGGGTTTTATCGACGTCGGTTCACTCTACAATTTTCATAATTTCACATGCGTAGACATTTGATACACGAAATTCACATCCACTTATACGTAAAATCATATTTACATACATACATAAACACTCCCGTCACCCAGAGGGGTAGACCGTGACTATAGACTTTCATTTATCACGATCCTGAGATCCATGTACTTTTGAATACATGCTCGGTGATCGCGTAGAATGAGGGTACTCTTAATCGCCGTGCATGTATGATTAGTATATAAAACATTCATTTAAAGTTATTACCTGTAAACCTTTAAACCATTGTTATTCGACCATAGACAATGATCAAATAAATATTTGTAACTCGTTCCAGGAAGCGATGGTGATTCAAGAAAAGAAAGCGCTCGAGCGATTGATGAGAATACGCCCCGATGCAGCACCGGTTCGTCCCTCGCACTACTCTACTTGCACACACTAACTTTACTGCACTGCTTCTCTCATTCGAATTTCCTCTCATACTCTACTCGCACTCACATAACTTTGCTTGTGGGCTATGACTTCACTCACACAAACTTAAATTTGTATCTATAATTATCCTTGAATACAGTCTACACTCACACATACCCACTTTATGTAGAGTCTACTGCACCCCACAGCTGGGCAAAACATTCTCATCACATAAATCACGTTCTACAGTATGTTTACGTTACAGACGGATTCGTGCCGCAGCAGAAGACGGAAGGAGAGAGAACGTCATTGGCTCGAGAGTCACGCATCGGAAACGGATCTTTGAGCTACTCTCTGTATATGATTACAACGTGCCGACAGATGGCCGTACAGTCGCGAAGCTTTTGCCTTTTATCGTGTCAATGTGAAAAGCTATTAATATGGCCGCGTTATGGTCATAATTGCTAAGGCTGTATGCTTTTAGGTCTTTACATTATATTTAAATGAAATCATTTTTATCAAAAAACACTGATGGGACGGTCGTATTAGAACGAACGATTAAATGATATTTAACTGCGTTCGCCAAATGTGATCCTTATGATAATTACTCCTGTGGGAAGGCTCTCGCAATATACTAACAATTTATCTCTACAAATACAACGACAGATGGCGCTTTTATCAAATATGTCACTTAATCTAATCACACTGTAAATATTTCATAATTGATAGGCAATTCAGCAAGAAAGTAAAGTTTTTTCTAAATTAAAATTAGTCAGAACATAACATGGCGTCGTTAATATACAAGAGCGGAATTGAATAATAAATAACAACAACAACAAGACAGTATTAAATATATCATCACAGAGAGTATTTTTGAAAATAATTGACTGAGACAGCAGTTTGCGAATATTAAAGAAAATAACACTGTCATGAAATGAAAGAGGAAAGAAGTACGGTGCATTTAATTTTAGCTTTATTTTAATGAATTAAGTTACAGTTTTTAACAAAATATTTGGTTTTTCCAAGCACTTATGGCCCTACACAACGTGGTTAATTAATCGTTCCCAAGAAACGAACGAATAATGTGATGAATGAATTCGATACGTTCAATTTAAGCTTTTATTGTAGTCGTATTAGGTACCATATTGCCTGAAATACAACGTGGTACACGGATGGTGAAGTAACCATTATAACGCCAGATCGGTGACTGATACTGTGCCGTACTATCGCCATTTGGCGCTTTGGACCTCAAAGGATATTCGAAAAAAATTTTTTTTCCCCTTTCAAATGCAGATGAGCCTTATTGCTTCCGATTAAAGTATAAATTACATTGTTTTTTAATAGGTATTAAATGGTCGATCCCAAGTTATTTTAACAGATAACTAAGGATGTCACATTAAATTCACTTTTTAAATTATTGTGAAATAATATAGTCTAATCTAGTCGTAAAGTCTAAAAAAGTCGTAATATCACTAGATAAACCGACGATAGCTACTTTTATCCATATACTGGATGACGTTTTTTACCGTTTGGAAATAAATAGGGTGTAACATGTGAACGGAGTAGAAGCTTACGGCAGTGATATTAAAAAAAAAATAAAAAAAATTTTGAATTAAAAGTTTGAAAATTTTCTTTTTAACAATTACTTTGCTCTTTGCCCTTGAGCCTGTGACCCTGCGATGTGACAAGGTCAAAGATGCCTACTAAATTCATTGTTTTATTGCCGTTCGTAAAGTAGGGTGGATATGATTTGAATTTGGATAGATTTTAATAAAATTACCTATTCAATTTAAATTCTCTGTTTTTATTTTTTGTAAAATATTAGTACTTATACAATATAAATATATTGGCTTCTACTTCGGTCGCGTATTACACTCTATTTTTTCCAGACGGTAAAAAAAGTCATCTAGTACAATAAAAAATATTAGTTACAGTTTTTGTGCATACTATTTTAAAACAAGCAACTTATCACAATTGCTTGTTAACTACGAAACTAAACTCGATTCAACGCAAAGAAATCTCAACCTTATAAAGTTCCCGATAAGATTTAATTTATGACCGGACACAACACCTTTATGGCTTCTCTTTTACCTGTTCCAATAACATTTGAAAACATCCTAAGCTTTTTTACAATCAATTTTCTCCTTCTTCTTACATAAGGTGATATTATCTTACGTAGACGCCAAGACGTAATAATGCATAGAATGATGGTTGGGACTGAACAGGATTAAAAGTTGTGGCTAAAATAATATACTTACGAGTAAAACATTTAGTTTGCTATATCCTGACGCCATATAGGTATAGACATTATATTTGCTATATGAGCGCAAGTTTCTGGGCACATATAGATCTGAACCTGCCTTGGTTGAATTTATCTAATTAGAGTTCGAGAAATTAATCGGAAAAATTGAAAAACAGTGCATCTTGTATTATCTAAATTTTCAAAAACAATTAAAAAATAAAATTTGTGCTCTATGAGTTATTTTTGGCGCCATATCTTTTTTTTAATAGAATAAGGGTGACAAATGTTCACACGGTCCACCTGACGCACGCATCCTCGAATCAAAATGCAGATGCGTTGTCACACCCCAGGACTAAGATGGAATGCCTAGTTCCAAAAAAATTTATCGCATTGGGCGCCATTTTAATGATGTCATCTCTTGCGCGATTTTGGATTTACATTAGAATATAGTCCAATAAACATTTACGATATATAATTCCGTTAATTGGCATCTTGTAAAATGGATATAATACGATATGAGCGTTTAAGTAATTGATCACTTTTAACACAAGATGAATCGTGATTGGAATCGTGGTCCTTTGGTTTCGACAGATATAGATAGGCAGATAGAGATACGCAGAAAGCGAGCCCATCTCCGTTATAGGATAACATAGCGTCATAGGCACAGATTTAAGAGCGGCGAGCTACTCCGAGCTCGTTTTAGATGGGTAAATAGAGAAGATCTAGATATCAGACGACTTGCATTAACACCATATCATATCTTACTATTAGAAGTCGCAATAGTTTTCTGCCTGCGGCGAGACTGTAATGTCGGCAGATTGTCACTTATGTGCAGGTGAAGTGTGTCTCTTAGTTTTTGGCATTTTGACAACGTATTGTTTCGATATTATTTCAAAGAAAAATCTACATCAGAGTGGGTTCACTCCGCGCTCTGACTTAAAAACATCTTTATGTCAAATAAGATATAACTTTCCATGTTAGGCAATAAAAGTGTTTTGCGATCCTCATAGGAACGGAGTCTCTGTATGTCAGACTAAACAATCTGCCAAAATAGAAGTACAAAAGAATATCAGAAGTACAAACTAGAAACTCTTGGCTTGTTTGTGTGATTATTTTTTTATTTAAAAACATACCGAGCTAGTGAATCTGGTTATATATATTTTTAAATGGCAACACTTTCATCAAGCAACAAAATTGACAATTTGCTGGCAACAATTATATGTTATGTTAAGTGTAATTAAAAACTAATAGTGTGTAGAATAAAATGTATAGATTTACCTCGGTTGATCGATTACTCGCTTATTTAGCAGAGTAGGCAGAGGACGGCGGCGTCGGGATGCAAGTCGAGTAAGTACTGAAAGTAGTAAGAACGCGCCATTTTGTTTTGAGTGTACAATTTACACCAAATGGAACTGGTTGTATTCAATGAACAATTTGACAAAACTCAGGACTCCTGTGAATTAGTCCCTCTGGTTCACAGAATACATTTACCCTGACGGGAAGAACGAAAACTTCATACAAAAAAAATGCCAACAACTTGCGACACTAGCGCGCCAGTTTTTGACCCATGAACTAATTTTCGCGCCAGATTTCAAAACTGATGATAAACTCATGATTTTATTTTATTTTATGGCATGTATCATGAAAACAAAGCGAAATTCTGGTATTTAATTTGAAAATTACCTGAATTTCGGTTTATTTTCATGATACATACATATTTATGGAAAGGTATTAAATAAAACGAAGTTGTAAGCGTGTTTTAAAATATTTATTTTTCTTTTCATTGCTTTTTCGAAGCTTCATAGGTGAACCCTATGTTTTAAAATATAGTGTCGTTTTATGCATATATATATAGTAGAAATAATTATATGCATTTTATTTTTATCATAGTGCTCAGAACAATCAAGCAACCATTCCAAATTTAATTTTCTCCTTAAAATTTCTATAAGTTCATTTTTTATATTTATTAGGGTGGTATTACACCCACGCTCATCCAAAAATTTATTAACAAATGTTGCGGCAATCTCCACTGCCTCCGTAAAAAATTATTAACATAAAGTAGACTGTTGCGCATACAACTGTATTCTTTAAAGCTTGTGAATAAATGACTTACCTCTGTGTTCTGGTTTGCAAGCATTATGATTTTGCACTGATGGCAAATGAGTACTAATTTTTTTATCACGAAGCCACATACATATGCGCAAGCTTGCAGTTCTCCAGAACACTGAGGTATTACAGTATTAGATGATTCTACACCTTCTGTTAAATCAAATGTTTTAACAGCTACATTTGTTTCTTTATTTTGTTGTCAACTTGACTTAAAAAAAGATTTTAAATCTTTTAATATGACATTATCGTCTTCTTTGCAATTTTTATTTTTACTGCTATGCAATAAATTGTTGATCATGGAGATTTTGAGAGCTGCAACAAATTGTAGGGTGTTTGGTTTCGGGCTGCTCATTGCTGCTGAAACCAAAACAGTTTTCTAATGGATCTTAATTGAGCCTGCGCGTTGATAAACTTTTTATAGCACATTGCCTTTCTAAATTAAAAAATAGACGCTCAACTGCATTTATAGTTCTAATAAAACCTTCCTGCGAAGGGGTTTTGCATCTGGCCCCAATAAATTGTAATTCTTGGAACAGGATTTTCATTTCATTAAAAAAAATTTAATGTGGACGTCTGCGGGTACAATTTGTAAGGAATTTTTTCCCTCTTTTCTGATCAGGCGTATCGCCGTTTAAGGTGTCGAACAGCTGGTCTATTTTTTCTATCAGCATGGCTGTCGTCGTTGCTTCTTGCGGCAGTTCATCTGTAAAGCAAACACTCATTTTTTTATTTTATAGTGAAAGGTTGGGGAAAATGAAATGAAATTGAAGACAATGGGAAATTCACGCGTTCGCCGCGTCGCGTCTCGCGCCCTCGTTCGCTCTTGAAAGCGTGTCGGGAGGCACGAGACAAGACGAGACGAGCGTGTACAGCAGGCATAAAAATTACACCTAATAAGTAATCAAAATTACACTAAATAAAGTAATCTTTATAAAAAATTCAATTATAATTAGAATGATTATTTCAATAAGATCTAATAATAGTTGATTGACATT